TATTTCATATAAATAGCTAGCTATCCTATCTTGACGGATCCGATAGAGTAGCAGACGAGTAACGTAGCGTTTCGCCGCCAATTTTCCACCCACTTACTGCTGTACTGATTGCAAAGTTTCCGCTTTAGCGGCTGTTAACTTGATATGTGGCGGAATAAGTTTGTTGAAACAACAAAGATGGATAGTGGAAAAATACTATCGGGCATATTTCTGATTCGCTGTAAATGATCTAGCGTGAATTCAGTGACAATATTTTCACTATATTTAAGCAGTATGCGTTTAGGTAGTAGGCTATCAACGCTTGAAAAATGTCTAGAGAACTTGCACAGGTAAAGTTTACGCGCGCGGGCTAAATCGATCCCTTCTGCTATAGAAAAAAATAATAATAATAGAAAAAAAAACTGTTTATGACGATATTTAGGAAACATTGATATCATTGACGTTGCTAGCCGGACCTAACACAATGCTGTGTTAGAAAATGATTCTTTAAGAAAATTCGGATATGTTGCTAGATTCTATAAACGCATAGAAGAACGCTTAATTATCGAGAACGTCTTAAAATCGTGAATTGATGTTATCTAAAAGATATAGCTTGTATCGGTATATTTAGCGGTAGCGAGATGTTGAGGTTGAACACCGTAACGTTTCGGGCTCAATCTCTAACTGTTATGGCGGTTCATCTAAATATGCTTAGCGTGTTCGTTCGGCCTAAAGGCTATTTCACTAACGACCTACTACCGGTGAACTGCATCTCTAAAGCTGCCGTTCTTTCTCGTTAATATGATGAAAAGGAAGGGCGAGCATTTTGCTCATAACAAATCTTGCTAATGAGACTCTAACATCTATCCAGTTACTGAACGTAACATTGGACCTTTTGGTTCCGCCTTCAGCTATACAAGATGTATTTGTCATCAATCTTATGTCGTTTCGGCTTTTATTTCGTTGAAAATAACACTTTCATCTCTTTCTGATCTAATACCGGCTATAGGCCTTGCGATCGTTCTATAATTTCAGTGAACTATTCTTCATTCATTGATGTCTTTTCTTCCGTGGATGAGTGTCTGACTGTCTAGCTGAGATGCGCATTGCAGCGTTTGCTGTTATTCCATTATTCATGATGTAAAACAGCATTACGTCGGACGTGCCACATCCCGGGATCCAAGGGCAAGACGTATTCAGGATCCCTCTGTTTGCAACCAATTGCGCAGTAGCAGTTGAGGTGTTGTTCGAAATAGGAATGAGAAAGGCTTAAGGTGCTATTGGCCAATTAGATGTTTCGTCTAAATTCAACTGACTATTGAAATATTGCTATCGATAGCTGAACATTCTATCTCGGTAGGTTTGATACAAACAGTGATAGTGGTTGTTGCATAAATGTCTAGCAGACCGCTACAATAGCAACAAATATCGTATAGGAGGCCTATTGAATAAGGTCGCCAGTTTTTTTTTAATTCGACCGTTACAAAAATGGTGCTTAATTAACGTGTTGGTTTGGAATTAATGAACGCAGTTAGATGTGCTGCTTGGTGTGCTCTAAAGGTAACTTTGGAGAATACCTAAGCCATGCCTAGCTAGCTTGCTGAGCCTAAAAAGTATCTAACTATTTCAAGCTGTCCTGCCTTTTTTCATTCCCAAACTCAGATAGGCTAGACAAATATTACAAATAAATTATCTAAAATTATGTGCGCATCTGTTTATTTCTAGCTAATAAAATATCATCTCACACATGGACGAAACCCAGTGTTTTTCGTTTCGGCTATGCTCCGTCAAATTTCAAGCAACTAACAGAGCCCCACACGACGCTCGCAGTACGAAGTAGTAATACAAACTCAATGGAAACCAAATGCGAAGTTGCCTACCGATATATGATTTGACAATTCTGCATTGTGTTATATAATAGATAGTGCTGGCACGAATATGATGCGTCGATCTGGGGGACTTCGTCCGAATGAACAATGATGAGATTCAAATTATCCTTTAACTTGAAGCCTTGTAAACATCGACGCCTTCAACTTACCCCTTCATCTTACCTTGTCACAATCTTACAACAACGAAAAAATCACACGCTCCAATCAATAACAGTCCCGTGCATAAGGAGACGTTCTTTAAATTAGCATTCAAGTTGCTTACATGCTAGTTTGCCGCGCGTATCATTGTTGAAGTCCATATAGAAGGTGCACAATATGTCAGACATAGTTAAAGGCTCCTAGGTCTTCTTTTTCCACTGTTATTTATTTCATCATGATTGCGTTCCAATTAGGATGAAGACAAGTAACCTTTCCGCAGCACGCAGATTTGTTCATCGACTCAATAACAAACGATGCCGTAGGCGGTCTATGTGAATTGTCAGCATATGTGCCTTCAGAGATCGCAACATAGATACCATCTAAATACAATACGAAATTGCGGTGGTCCTACAGTCATTTTAATCCTGTGATATTATATTGTGAATCTGCGTATGTATATGGAGTGTTTGACTGCTACCTATAAAGGTGAATAAGTGAAGTTTAGACAGAGCGATGAGTATGATGCTAGCCATACTAGGTTTTAGCTTCGTGCCCGTTTTTTTCTGACTCGGTGTTTTTTGTTCATTTTTGCAATTTCCATTTTGAATGCTGCTCGTTAACGCGCTGTTTTGTCGACTAGAGGTCTGCTCCATGGACACAACAGGCTAAATACTTAGCTCAAACAATGCAGAGGAGTCGAGCAAGAAAACAGAGTGTTGTCTTCAGCGTATTATTTAATGCCCGAACTTTTAGCAGAGGACTGAAGTACGTCCAGACATAGACCTCTCCCTCTCAGTGGTTAATAGGCGAACCCGTACTACTGAAGCGTTGCCAAAGCGTCAACTATAGATCAACCGGAAGAGAATATTCTGTCGGTGCGATTGCAGATTTAGTAAACATTTTCCACCAGTGCGGGTCACTTGTCTCTTTGGATTTTTATTTCAGCACTAATATCTGTTCTAAAAGCCTCTTGCTCATGTTATGGTAGAAGACCAGTTCGACTTTCCCATGCACTCCGTTCGATGTTGACATACACCCAGCAGCTATATTCGACTGAGACAATACGAAAATTGTTCCTTCCTATTGATGTTAGTACATGTTTGTTTTTATTTTTTTCGTGCCAAAGTTCTTCTTCCCGGACCCTCACAATGCCAGTCTACCAGTTTGTTTACAGTCGGGACGCGCCTGCATCCGTACCATTGGCTGCAGCGTTCCCAGAGCACATATAACATAATATACAACACAACATTTCGATGGCCTTCAGCACCACATCATATACGAGTACCTAACAATATTTGAGGTACCTTCAGAAACGTCAGATGCATGGATCCACGCCTCATTGCTGGCTATCATTGCTCCATCGTTTAGCGCCGCGCGGCTCGACCAGCCGCCCGTTGCTGCCAGCGAATTACCCTCTCCTAATTCAATTGAACTCTCGCCCAGCATTCGACCCTTTCTCCATATCTGAGTTCGTTCCCTCTTTCAGAGGAGGGACAGTCAACAGAAATAGAGCTATCGAGCACATTGTACCGCGGCGGAGGGAGTTCGCTGCCGCTGCTGCTGGCGACGGTGGGCCGCGCCACCGGCGGCAGAGCACGTCCTATTGTAGTCGGTGGCAGCCTATTCCAGCTGAACTGTGGCTTCTAACGTTGCTGCATTCGCTGCTACAGGCTGTGCTGCTGCCGTTGCTGTTCCGTCGAGATGTGGCGGTTCGCCGGCGACCTTTACTGCTGCCACTGCCGGCAGTTGTCATCGAGTTTGGCGATACTAACGTAATCGTTGTCGGTGTTGTTGAAGAAATTCGCCGCTAGGGCTGCTGCGACGGGTGGTATGCCAGCCGCTGCTACCGGTTCTTCTGCTACTGCTGCTGCTGCCACCGCCGCTACTTCTGGTGCAGCCGCCGCTGGCCTCAGCTACGATCATTAGCGCCGTCGTGCTGTTGTTCGCGCGGGCAGTTGTCTGTTGTTTCACGTTCCTGCCGCTCGCGCTGCTCACTCGCTCTCAGTTCCGTGCTGATAAAAGCAGTGTCAGAGTGGATAGCCAGCTCAATATGTGCGTGCCCGTGTTCCGTTCCGGTCGCGGACGAGAATCGGTCCTTTGATTGGTTTGCTTTTTTTTTACTTGTTGACTTACTACTACTTCACGACACTGTTGAATGGAAGTAGTTGTGTCAAAATACCCCAAGTCAGGTCGGTTGACACCAAGTATCTGTATTCGACGAGCTGTCATCGTGTATTCGATGTACGGTGACGGCGGACAGCCACAAACGGCTTCAAGGACAACGAACTCGACAAACATAAAAAGAAAAAACCAGGGAAATGAGCGCGTACTCAGAGAACACGGAGTCATTAACGGGAACAAAGCTGTACGCTCGACGACTACTACAAGGCGCTGCAATGAATATCTGCCTATAGCCAACCAACATCTGCTTCGTTCATCTGTCGAAAATTTCGGAAGGTTCGAGAGAAACACGGGACGAATGCTGTCATCGACATTGGAGGCTGTACCCCTATAGAGACTATGCTCTGTGCTATGCGATATTAGTTGCAGTAAAGGCATAAACACTACTGCAAGCTGTGTAAACAAAACACTGAGGGCCTTGTGGGACTTCGTAGACCGTTTTTGCGAGTTCAACAGGATGCACGAATAGATGTGCTTTAACTACCCTCCCGCTTTTCTTCGTTGTGCTATTTGTTGTCTATGGTCTATTCCGCTCTCTTTGCAATTGTTCATTGATAGTGACCAGTCCTATTGAACGTTGAGCGCACCAAACCGCTGTGTCACTCTATTGTCATCATCGCCACTGAAAATTGTCCAATTATGTGAAGATCGACTCTGTGAACGGGTCCGCCTTCCTTGCTTTTTTTTTTTTCGTTAGCTGAAAAGCGAACGAGCTCTTTTGTTTACTATTAGAAAAACTTTCCTTTCTGAGTCCTTGTTCATCTTCAGTCATCGTATGTAAATATTGGTGCAGGAACTGACGGGTCTGCAGCGATCGTCGAAAGAAGAAATTGCCCCACTCCACTGAAGTTCATCCGACGACTCTAAAACGACATGGCCATCCACAAACGGTGAGTGACAGATCGATTACTTAAGTACTATAGGTAGACACAATGGTACGCAAACTGCATATGTCTAAGCTGTGCTTAGACTAAAACAGTAAACAACTAACCTGATAAGATGATCAGCGGGAATCTCTACAGAAGTGCTAGGTACAAGTCGGTCGCAAGTGGAAATCTGTGGGAACAGCTCGTTAAAGAAATAAATATATCTATACATAAATGTAACTGAATAAATTCAGTGATTATAACATCGACTTTTGTCGAAAAAAGGCGGCTTTATCAGATCGTAGTCAGAGGCGTCTGATTCACTTGCCAGCTTCCAATAGCCATTTAGGAGATCCAAATCAATTGATTTGTAAAACAAATCATCTTGAATAGCGCGATCTTGGGCGTTATCGAAGTGCCCCTTCGAACTCGGGTAGTTCTAAAAGAAGCGTTCTTCTATGAAGTTCCACCCACCAGGACGGCACGAATCTGTTTCAGCATCTAGCAGATTTACTAAGAAGATGGGAGCGGGCTATTCGATAATCTCTGTACTTCGAAATTCGGTGTAAACGATACATTAGTAAGGCGAATTAATATTAAGTTTGGAGCGTTAGTGGCCGAATAATCGTCATCACCTGGCCTGCAGATCAAATAGTTTATGTGTACTTGAGTCGTGTTTAAGAAGGAAGTGCTACTTCGCTCGGAGACTTGTGGGTGTTTATTTTTCTTTTTTTCTATATTAAACTGAAACAAACTTCGTCCCCCCCCCCCTCAACAGTTTTATTCATTACCTAACAATGCAGTCATCGTCAATACGTTGCCTTTTCCTCTATCCCATTCATTATTCCTGAACTAGAATAGGACTTATCGTATCAACGTAGGGAATGGCCTGTTCGCTTCCTGGTTGTTTTGCGCAACAGCTCCTCCGTAGTGTTACGCCTCGTCGCACAATTGCCATCTATATCTAACGTAGCGAGAAAAGCTCGATGAGAATACTCCGATCCGAACAAGCGCACGCGTCCAAGGAGTACTACAAAACGACGCTACCTTACAACCAGCAACATCATCACGAAGTCGTGTGTTTGCGTATGTCTGTATAAGCAGAAGTCCAGCTTGCTATTCGTTTTTGTTTTATCGTTAAGTCATTATTATTGTTTTACAGTCAGCGGTAAACTGTTCTGTGGCCGTGGTAACGTTGACGGTGTCAGACATCGTGCCGGTTGCACTGTCACCTCCCGCAGCTGATAGCGCCCTTTGCTGGATACGTCGTTGTTGGCCACTGTTTCTATTGTAACATTATTCTATGGAACTAAATAGCGTACGCTGTTTGCTGCCCCTCTTCCTCGCGGTCAGGCTCGTTCATTCGCTGGCAGCAGTGAGTATGTGTCAAGTTGTCTCCACGGTGTTGTCCCAAAGTCAGCTTCTGGCAGGTACAGCAGCTCGTCAGCCCCCATCGCGATAATAGCAACGGTGGCAGCAGTGGTTTTGCTATACAAACGGTAATACAGGTTTTCAAGCAAGAGACGCCATATGAAACCAACAAAAGGCGGCAAGAACACCGGCAGAACCCTTCGGACCACTCCCGCTGCCACCGCCTCTGAAGTCGTCAACTAACCTGTGGTAAAACTAATGCCGCTAATGGCGGACATGCAGTTGTTACCAGCCGCTTCCGTTACGACGCGCAGTGCGTTTGCCTGGATGTCTAGCTATCTCGGCGTGGCGGGGTCGAGTATCCGTACCGGCAGTGACGATCCGATCATCGTATCAGTCGGGGTGGCACAGGAACTAGTTCTAGCGGGCAGGCGCAATGTCTTACGTATCTATGATATTGTCACTGCAGCAACGTAGCTATCGCGAAGCAGCAGCGAAGAGAGACGGCAAATAGCAGACAGATTGGTCCGTCAATGAGTGCGTAAATAGGGACCGCTAGTTGCTGTTACCAGTGCAGGCCATGCTATAATATTCAAGCTCCTTTTCAAATTGACTTCGCCTTCTGTTGTATCAGTCGAATTCCCATGATGCAGGTAGTTATTCGAAATAGTTACCGCTGTTACTCTTTTTCGTGATGATGATAATGCTGTCGTTGTTCTCAGTGTTCTTTAGTCCTCCAGCGAGTATTACGTTTGTAAGAGAATTCGTCTGACCCTTGTCTGTGGCCAGATCGCTGTCGTTGACGTTATGTCGACCGGTGTCTGCCACCAGCAATGGCAATGGCAAAGACGCCGCCGCTTGTTATTGTCTACATGCGATGATCGCGGCGTAAGCGATGCTGTTGAAGCCAGCAGAGGTGACGGTGGCGCCAGCGGCGGAAGTAAGGCAACATTGTCGTCATCGTTCCAGTGAATGCACAGTGTAATGTCGCATTGTTTGTACTGAAGCTTGTGGTTGTCGCAACGATTGCCACTCGATACGACAAAAACAGGGACAGATAACAGATACAAGTGTAGACAGAACGAGGCTCTATGGAAGGACGGACGGAACAACTGCCGCCGCAGGCACACCATCGATACACCAATAACGACGACAACGATATAACAGCAGACAACATCGGCGGTAATAGCAGCGATACCTTTAGACGCGGATTTAGGCGCTGCTAACAGAAATTATAGTGGGAAGCGCGAATTTCAAATCGAAGTAGTGTCACGTGGAGTTCTGTTCATTGTCATCCGGTGCTGTTTGCACTAGCGGCACAGTGGTAGCTGCAGAAGCAACAGTGGCGGTGTATGTAGGGAAAACGCGCGCGCATAAGATGACTCGACAGAAACAAAATTGTCAGTCGTCGCTCTCTGGCCATCGATTTCCGAGTTGAGACGGTTGGACGACCACGCAACTGCCCCCGCTTCTATATAGCTTTTTCTACCGTTAGATCCTCTGTTGATCATGGTCTAAAGACACGGAGAAACCAAGCGACTAATGGTGTCGATTGGCATCAACGGCAATCTAACAGACTATACAATATCATTTGCATTTTTTTTCCATAGTATGTAGAGGGCTAGGAATTAACGCCGTTACTCTGTGACTGCAGTCCACTTTGACTGCTAGACGCCTGCGCACCTTCGCGTAATAATACATTTGTTGTATTTCAATAGATCCATTGGTGCTTACAACCAGTTGAATCTATCGAAATAGGTCCAGCAGCTAGGTCGAAACCGTGTACCCTTAGCAAATTCTTATTAAGACAATGTGGGAACTCTAGCCCAACTGTGTTTGTTCGCTATTTGATAGAAATTAGCTAATGAAAATGGATGAAGCCGCGTCTTTAGGGGTAACGTTGGCTGGGTGTGATCGCAAGTATTGCATGTTGCCGTGAAGATATCTTGGAAAGGCTTAACATTTCTCAATGAATCTCTGCTCTCTACAAACGTTCAATTTCTATTCTTTTCGGGGTCTACTTTTTTGCATCCGTTTAGACGATCCTGAGAGTTGCTCACCCGCAATGCTGTCCACATATATTGTACTATCGATAGTATTGTCAAACGTGGCTAAGACCAGCCATCTTTTTGCCAGCGTTTGTCAAACAGGTAACAGGTTCGCAGTGCCGATTTAGTCAATGCTCCCTTAGTATCACCTCCAACGGTTCGACCGCAGCGCTCGCAAAGAACACCACAGTTAGAATAACAGCGATAACCACCTTCCGTACAGCAGCACGAGAAGTAGCGTCGTCAACGTTCAGATATACAGACAATAGCCGAGCAAAATGTTCCTGTGTAAGGAAATCGCTTAACCCGGCCGTAGGCGTCGCGCGAATATCCGACCCCCTTGCTTCATGCGTCCTACTACAGTAACGTTAGCTCATACATGCGCTTTTAGACAACATGGAGAGACCTATAGACGAGAGAATGCGCGACCATTTCTAGTCATCGTTATCTATCGTTCCGATGCTATAAGCAATGTTCATGCAGAGCGACCAAAGTGATGTCCCTGTCACAGTGCCGTATTATCTGTTCTGTTGAAACGTTAGCCGCTTGCCGTCCTCCCAGTTTGGTATCCTTTAACGCTGCCCCTGTTGCCGCCATCTCTGTCTGGTTACTTCTGACGCTCGGCCTTCCATAACGGCAGCGCTCCTGTACGGCTACGCTCAACGATCGGCCGTCCCTCGTTCTGACTAAACGTCGTTAGCTCTTCTGCGACGTGTGTCATGAAACGCCACCACCAATGGCAAAATACGCAAGTCTCTCGATGTCATTACAGGAAAACAGCACAGCAGTCCGTGTAGCATATAATGTACAGTCTTAAGCGATAACGATGAAGGTGCGGGTTACCGCGACACGACGAAGAATACTGCAAAGCATGCACGTGCTATCATGCACGATTATTGAAGACACGTCATAACATGATATGGAAGAGGGGATTGTTAGCTGCATCCTGTTTCGCAGAGGAATCGAAAGTTGCGCCTACAGAACTTCGAGTGCAAGTTGATCTGAAGTAACGCGAAAGCAAGCAGGGTCCGATGTGACGATTAGAAGGATTGGAAAGAAAACTGCGTCAGTGAATAAGGAGATGATACGCTGTGATGATAAGATAAGGCAACACGATAAAGCCACTGAAGGGAATAAAAAATCTTAAAAAAAGAACAGTATATAAAATATGAATGCTCAACTCTTTTTCATCGAAATAGTCTTGGGAAGCGTTTGTGATCTGTCCTGTGACGGTCGTGTATTATTCTGCATATTGTAAAACGTACAGGATACGTAAAGATGTAAAAATCGACTGTATTTTTCGTTTTCTCTTTAACTCATTGCTTGACAGCAGTGGCCAGCAGACGACAAAATAGCATGATGAACGCATATGCGAGTGAAGCTTTATAAAATCAGCCAGTTTAGCGTGAAGCCCAAACAATTGATTTATGATGGATTTCGATCGTAAGCTCATATATCAATACTGAGCATAATAATAACAAGAATGGTGATCATTATCATATAATGCATAGTTTGGCTGCATAAACCCTCCGATATATCAAAGCTCTAAGAAGATGATGGCAGACATCTATTCAACTATTTATCCAGCGTATGCTTTGTCGGCAT